TGCTCCTGGCCAAGAATCATCACCCTGGGCATTTTGGTTATTGAGAAGAAGTTGTTTAAATGTTTTTTTAAGACAATTGACCCATGTGACCTTGAATATAATTGAAGGTAATTCATTTGAACAAACTTTGTAGCCCTTCACCCACAGCATGCTACTGGCCAAATATCATCTCCCTGGGGAGTTTGGTTATCGAGAGAAAGATGTTTAAAAAAAAAAACATATTTGACAACTGTGACCTTGAAAATGGGTGAAGGTCATTTATTTTAACAAACTGTGTAGCCCTTCATCACAGTTTGCTTCTGGCCAAATATCGACACCCTAGGCCTTTCGGTTATTAAGAAGAAGTCGTTTAAAGTAAAATATTGACGACGGACGACGGACGCCGCGCCACGGCATAAGCTCACCGTACCAGGTGAGCTAAAAACCAAGTGAATTTCCAAAGAGCTCTCTGGTGTCTAAAGGACTGGAGGGTTTGGGAGTCTGCAGGGGTACTCTGGTGCCAAACTGAATTGACAAAGGAAAGGGATCTCTAAGGCCAGTCAGACATACCTGTACATTGAACCTGAATCGCTTAACCTTAACATAGGAGTTAACTCCACATTTTCCCTTACTTTGGTCGTAGAGTTTCTCAGTAACCAAAACTGTTTAACTTATCAAGACTATTTTAAACAAAGCACCCTAAAATTGCTCAAATCAGAGTTCAAAACTAAGAAAATATTCAAATCCTCAAGTCCAATATATATAATTCAGTGCATGAAGTTCACGAATATAACAAACATGTCATGTACAAGGAGAAGTAACTCAAATAATGCACTATGGTAAAGAAAAATGGGCCTGCATCGCTCACCTGTTATTAATCTAACACTTGTAATCTTAAGATTTCATAAGAACCTATTAAAAGATTTAAACATATGACGCCTCTGACCTTGATTGTCGAACAAGGACATTAGGTTGAAAGTGGATCAAGGTCATTCATTTGAACTAACATGGTAATCCTTCATCCCAGCATGCTACAGGCCCAATTTCAGTACCCTGGCCCTTTTGCTTATTGAAAAGAAGTCGCTTGAAGATTTTACGACATTTGACCCCTGTGACCTTGAAAGTTGGTCAAGGTCATTCAGTTGAACAAACTTGATAGTCCTTCATCCCAGCATGCTACAGGCCCAATATCAGTACCCTGGGCCTTTTGGTTATTGAGAAGAAGTTGTTTGAAGATTTTAAGACATCTGACCCCAGTGACCTTGAAAGTGGGTCAATGTCATTCATTTAAACAAACTTGGTAGCCCTTCATCCCAGCATGCTACAGGCCCAATATCAGTACCCTGGGCCTTTTGGTTATTGAGAAGAAGTCGTTTGAAGATTTTATGACATTTGACCCCTTTGACCTTTGAAAGTTGGTCAAGGTCATTCATTTGAACTAACTTGGTAATCCTTCATCCCAG